TAAACCTATTGCTGTTGAGGCAATACCTATTGCTGTTGAGGCATGGGGGCTTATTCAAGGGTTTGGGTTTATTTCACAAAAGTCTGATCAACTCACTCCATCCATTCTTTAATACTTTCTGGCTTGAGGGAGTGGTGGTAGTCTGTGAAAAGTTAATTTACTTTCAAATGATTTAACTACCTACTATTGGAAAACTTTGCCGGCTAAGTAATAAAAAGGGGTCCTCCACATCCCATTTCTCCGCCCTATATATCCCTTGTCATCCTTCGCATTTGCGGACAAAACCTTTGTTTAATTTAGCCTTGGTCGTTTCAGGTACTTTTCAGATGTGGTGATGAAAACAAAGTAATCGACATAGATGAGCCCAAAACCTGTAGATATAACCTGACATTTCAGACTCCATTGGCATGCCCGCTCGATGTCTTCATGGGTAGGCGTCTCTAATTTGTAAACCTTATTTTTCCCCCTTTAAGTGTTATGCTCTTAATTTGTCTACTTCTTATTAAGTTTTTTGTTGTTGAAGCAAGCATTGATAACTCCGATTTTATTTTTTATTTTCTGATCGCTCGAAAAAGCGGAAAAATTACATATCATTCTTTAGAAGTTTCCCTGTGAGATTTCTCGAGGTATGAAAAATGAGACCAAAATTGAACGGGAAATTATATCCAGTAGCTTGTCGAAAAGAGCTTTAAAGGAGGAATGAGATGTTTTATGGGTTCCTTTTTTTAACCAATCGGTAACCACCTTCCCTCGCAAAGTTTTACAGTGCAAAGGAGATGTATATCTGTTAAAAGAACGCCTTCTGTCTACAAAAGAGTTCATGAAGTTTTGACTCAGTAAAAACATAATGAAAAGCCCTAAATAAAACAGCTTCCTTGCTTGCCCGATGGTTCTAAAATTGTAGCCAGTGTTTATTTTTTCCTATCATGTATTCTTTAAAATTGTTGTCTTCTTCTAGTTTATCCTACTCTAACTGATCTTGGCAAGGAGCAATGGGCTGAAATCGAGCACAGATACCACGAGAAAGAGTTGACTTTGAAAGGCTACCGAAAGAAGAGAACAGATTTGTTTATCAGTGAAGGCCTAAAGCACAACGAGGCTGATGACGAGCAACCTAAACTGTCGAGTGATGGACAGGTCGAAGCAGCCAAGACAGAAAAGACTGCCGAGCTACATGATTACCGTATATTTGGAAGACATGAATGTATTCAGGTATTAATTATATTTTAATTTCAACATACTGATGTTCAGGAAAGGGGAAGGCTTTAATGTACATAGCTCTCCTTAAAGTCTTCTAAAATGTTTAGCAACACCCAGGGGCGTACCTTGACGATTTCGAGTGGAGGGGGGGGGGGTGTAAACGGGTGATTTTACCGACCAAAATTAAACTCTTGCTAATCAATGTATAACTTATTTTACAATTATATATTGTGAATTTTAACTGTTTTATCAATATGATCTTGTCAATTACGAGCAAATGAGATCCTTCCATGTGTTATCAAGATACGCATCTACCGACAATCCATAACATTTACCGACCATCCGTAAAATTCACCGACCAACTTTCCAAAGGTGTACCACACCCCCCTCCTACCCATACCCCCGGTAGGTACGCCCCTGGCAACACCCTACTGTTTACCTGGCTTTATATTTCATTTAATGCTCAAAGGCTGTGTGAGAATGCTAATCGTGATGAAAATCGCCAATCATGCAATGTGAGCGAACACCATTAAAGCAAACACGATTCATTAGGATTTCTGGCATTCATTCTTTATTTTTAGAAATATGGCGAGCTTTTAAGGGAAGTTGAGTTGTTGAGAGCAAAATTGAAGGAATTAGAAGCGAAAAGTGGATCTACGAGATTGAACAATTCAACTGAGTCCGTTGAAAAGAAAGAGTATGGTAATGGAGTTAACTTGACTAGGCCGAAAGGTGATACCACTGTAACTGCCAACATTGGAGTTGGCAAAGTGGAAGCTGCTTCTGTCACAAGGGTGATGAGAAAAGGAGACGATGGGAGTGACAACATAAATCATCCGAGGAACTTGAAGAAGTATGGAAGAAGGGGAGATGACGGTACGATAGGTGAAAGGAAAATGGGGGAGAATTCAATCAGCAAAAATGGAATGAAATTTTTACATTCTATGGAGACAGTGAGAAAGAAAGTGAAGCTCACAGAAAAGGAGCAGGAGAAAAGAGATAAAGAGATAGCGCAACAGCATGCAGTGAACCACAGGGTTCATTAAATTAATTTTGTAGAATTTGTATTAAAGGAATTTGTAATGTAGGATTTTTATTGAGGGGGTTATAATTCGTCTTTATTATTGAAAAGATTCAAATCAATTACACGATGAATTATAACCCCCTCAATAAAAATCCTACATTACAAATTCCTTTAATACAAATTCTACAAAATTAATTTAATGAACCCTGTGGTTCACTGCATGCTGTTGCGCTATCTCTTTATCTCTTTTCTCCTGCTCCTTTTCTGTGAGCTTCACTTTCTTTCTCACTGTCTCCATAGAATGTAAAAATTTCATTCCATTTTTGCTGATTGAATTCTCCCCCATTTTCCTTTCACCTATCGTACCGTCATCTCCCCTTCTTCCATACTTCTTCAAGTTCCTCGGATGATTTATGTTGTCACTCCCATCGTCTCCTTTTCTCATCACCCTTGTGACAGAAGCAGCTTCCACTTTGCCAACTCCAATGTTGGCAGTTACAGTGGTATCACCTTTCGGCCTAGTCAAGTTAACTCCATTACCATACTCTTTCTTTTCAACGGACTCAGTTGAATTGTTCAATCTCGTAGATCCACTTTTCGCTTCTAATTCCTTCAATTTTGCTCTCAACAACTCAACTTCCCTCAAAAGCTCGCCATATTTCTAAAAATAAAGAATGAATGCCAGAAATCCTAATGAATCGTGTTTGCTTTAATGGTGTTCGCTCACATTGCATGATTGGCGATTTTCATCACGATTAGCATTCTCACACAGCCTTTGAGCATTAAATGAAATATAAAGCCAGGTAAACAGTAGGGTGTTGCCAGGGGCGTACCTACCGGGGGTATGGGTAGGAGGGGGGTGTGGTACACTTTTGGAAAGTTGGTCGGTGAATTTTACGGATGGTCGGTAAATGTTATGGATTGTCGGTAGATGCGTATCTTGATAACACATGGAAGGATCTCATTTGCTCGTAATTGACAAGATCATATTGATAAAACAGTTAAAATTCACAATATATAATTGTAAAATAAGTTATACATTGATTAGCAAGAGTTTAATTTTGGTCGGTAAAATCACCCGTTTACACCCCCCCCCTCCACTCGAAATCGTCAAGGTACGCCCCTGGGTGTTGCTAAACATTTTAGAAGACTTTAAGGAGAGCTATGTACATTAAAGCCTTCCCCTTTCCTGAACATCAGTATGTTGAAATTAAAATATAATTAATACCTGAATACATTCATGTCTTCCAAATATACGGTAATCATGTAGCTCGGCAGTCTTTTCTGTCTTGGCTGCTTCGACCTGTCCATCACTCGACAGTTTAGGTTGCTCGTCATCAGCCTCGTTGTGCTTTAGGCCTTCACTGATAAACAAATCTGTTCTCTTCTTTCGGTAGCCTTTCAAAGTCAACTCTTTCTCGTGGTATCTGTGCTCGATTTCAGCCCATTGCTCCTTGCCAAGATCAGTTAGAGTAGGATAAACTAGAAGAAGACAACAATTTTAAAGAATACATGATAGGAAAAAATAAACACTGGCTACAATTTTAGAACCATCGGGCAAGCAAGGAAGCTGTTTTATTTAGGGCTTTTCATTATGTTTTTACTGAGTCAAAACTTCATGAACTCTTTTGTAGACAGAAGGCGTTCTTTTAACAGATATACATCTCCTTTGCACTGTAAAACTTTGCGAGGGAAGGTGGTTACCGATTGGTTAAAAAAAGGAACCCATAAAACATCTCATTCCTCCTTTAAAGCTCTTTTCGACAAGCTACTGGATATAATTTCCCGTTCAATTTTGGTCTCATTTTTCATACCTCGAGAAATCTCACAGGGAAACTTCTAAAGAATGATATGTAATTTTTCCGCTTTTTCGAGCGATCAGAAAATAAAAAATAAAATCGGAGTTATCAATGCTTGCTTCAACAACAAAAAACTTAATAAGAAGTAGACAAATTAAGAGCATAACACTTAAAGGGGGAAAAATAAGGTTTACAAATTAGAGACGCCTACCCATGAAGACATCGAGCGGGCATGCCAATGGAGTCTGAAATGTCAGGTTATATCTACAGGTTTTGGGCTCATCTATGTCGATTACTTTGTTTTCATCACCACATCTGAAAAGTACCTGAAACGACCAAGGCTAAATTAAACAAAGGTTTTGTCCGCAAATGCGAAGGATGACAAGGGATATATAGGGCGGAGAAATGGGATGTGGAGGACCCCTTTTTATTACTTAGCCGGCAAAGTTTTCCAATAGTAGGTAGTTAAATCATTTGAAAGTAAATTAACTTTTCACAGACTACCACCACTCCCTCAAGCCAGAAAGTATTAAAGAATGGATGGAGTGAGTTGATCAGACTTTTGTGAAATAAACCCAAACCCTTGAATAAGCCCCCATGCCTCAACAGCAATAGGTATTGCCTCAACAGCAATAGGTTTATCCCCATACACCTGCATTTTTAAGCATACTGACCAGCCTAAGAAAGACAAAAGACAATTCACCCTCTGGTAATATTTTTGGCTGCTGCTAAATAGGACCCTACCTTCGAATAAGCCCTTCCTCAAATAAGCCCCCAACCCAAAATATTTTTTGTAAAATAAGCCCCCAGGGGTTATTCAGGGGCTTACAGTGACAAGTTGGAAAGCTAGTGTCTGAAATGAATGTACTCTGCTATGGCTTTTGGGCAGGGATTTGGGGGGATACAGCATTTCAGGAGACTTCAAAACTTCTGCTACTTTCTTGGAATAGGTAGGAAAGTTTTGTCTAAAGCCTTTCCTGTGGTACCCCCTGGTTAAAAATGAAGCATAGCAGTTAAATAAGGTATCTCATACCATCACTTCTCTGTATCCATGTCCAATGCAACTTTCTCCATCAGTCATTAACATTGAATGAAATGTGTTGTTAATGATATTCCATTCTCTCCAAATCCTGTAAAATTGTGAAAATCATTTCAGGAGCCAGTTATATGTAAGAAATGTGACTTATATGTAAGTATTATACCAACTTCCCGTTTCAAGTTTATGAATTCTGAATTTGCCTTTGCAAGCCATTGAGATTAGGGCAGCCAAGGAGTAGCTTCACTACAGAGTCAGTTAAGATGCGTGCCACTTCTTGGAAATAATGGACATGAAATTCGACTGAAATATGTGTCTCAAAATTTCTAAATATTCTTTAGCAAATAACAGTCTATCAATAGGCTTTTTCCCTTTGAAATATCAAAAACAATGGGGAAATTTTGTCAGATATCTTTGGCTGGAATTGCCTGAGTAACAAAGCAGACAATAACAACCAAACTATGAATGAAAATTTATTTCATACTGACAGTTGATACTATGAAAGTCATAGATTTGAAAAAATTGATAGCACGGAAATAAGAACTATTCTTACCCTAAGACCCCTTGAAAAGAATTCCATCTGTATGATAATTCTCTTTGTGTGACATTTTGAAAAGGACAAAACTCATATTTGTAGCTGGAATGAAAAAGAAATCTAAAATTAAAATCTTACCAAATACATTTTTCACATCTTGTAAAATCATCGTGTTAGATCTGAGTCAGACAGAAAAAATTCAATAATATGTTGCCTTTGTGGTTTTCATGCAATTGTGATATTTTATAACATATGACTCTAATGTTGAAATAAATTACTAGGCAATTACAAGACTGACTTAACACCTAGGCAATTACACATAAAATGATTGACTCTACAAGGTTTTACTGATTGTCTTAAAGATGGATACAAAACAGGAATGTACCACAACTGTTACACCCAAAATCTTACCATTTAAGCCACTATCCATAACACAATAAACTGAAATTGTAAGCTACTTTTAAAATACAAGCAGAGACTGCTTATTTCATAAATACCTGTCACTTGTCACATAGGTTAACAATTAAAAGAGGAGACAAATTATTTTACATGAAAATGGGTTCTTGAAAAGCAGCTGGAATCATTTTAAATTTTTGTTACCTTGATTTTTGAAGAATAAAACATTTTCCAGACAATTCGAACAGATGAGGTGGACCTGAAATCTTCCTTGGCTTGACTTTTGAAACAATTTCTTTCTCAAGGGGAGCAATATTCTGTACATTTATCCCTGCATGGTTTAGTGAAAATGGTTCATCAATTATCTTTATCTTTGTGTTGCTAACACCATCAGTAGAACAGAGGATACAAAGTATTCCAAAAATATACCTGCAAAGAACAAGGTTTAAATTACCAATCAGATGGAGCATTCTTAAAATCAAATATCAAATTCATCATCATGAAGGGGACAAAAAAGAAAGAATAAGTCTAAAGAAAAAGAAGAATGCTCCGGGGCTGTGCTCACTTGGGAACACTTTAAATTGCTATGTTTAGTAATATGAAAAGTGGAATGGTAGGCAGTTGTTCCATTCCTTTCTTTGTGAACAGGTGAACTGGTTCGAAAAACAGAACAATAACTAAGTTTGCTAAAGGCTTGCATTGTTCATGTGGAAATACAGACTTGGGTATTGGTAAACACTATGTTGAAATTATATCACAGAAAATGGAACAGAGCTAGTGTGTTCTTGGGTGAACAGGAGAAAAAGTTGATATGTGTTTATTTCGTTCCTGCCTGAACACTTTATTTACTTGTTCCAAAATTTAAAAAAACTATTGGAACAGTATGAAATTGCCCCCTTGTGAACGGGGCCTAAGTCTGCATCTGTGATAATCTCTTTCTTTGTATTGTATGTTTTGGAAAACTAAACCAAACCATGCTGACCTTTGTGGCACAAGCCAAACCATGAAAATTTGCTTAGGGATTGCTGACTAAAAACTTTTTTTCAAGGATTCTAATTTATGAAGATGTAACTAGCCATCCAGCTTATCTTAAGATGAATGCTTGATGTTATAGTGCCTTGAAATATTGCATCCCTTCTGCATTGTGATTTATACCCAAAAAATCAGACACAAAACAGAGGCATTATGTTGAAAGCTGGTGCAGACATTTTTGTTTGACCTCATGAAAAACATGGATAAACTTCTCTCTTACAACCTCAATAAATTCATTATAGTTCTCTATGTGCGGGCCACATCAGACACAATGTGGCCCTTAAAGGCCATGCATTCAACAAGCCTGCTCTTAGCAGATCTGAG